GAGGGGTGTGTGGTATGTGTGTAAGGAAGGGGTGAGAGAGAGGGGAGGGGAGGGGTGGGGGGGTGTAAGGAAGGGGCCGAGAGGTGTGGGTGTGTGTTGGGTGTCGCTTTATTGCTGCCCTCCTCCTCCAGAGGGGAAGGAGATCTCCCCAGTGTGTGCGTGTGCGCGCAAATCCGGCATCAGTTGCAGGGATCTTGAAATCTGATCCCTTCTGACTCACTCGCCCTGCCTGACATTTCTGATTTGGTTCAACACAAAAAAAAACAAGAAAAGAAAAGAAAGGGGAAAGAAAGAGAAAGGGGGGCGGGGGGGGAGAGGGGAAAGGTGGGGGTGGTGATGGGCCGGGGGGTCTGAAGCACATGCCACCCCCGCGCTTGCAAAGGCGCCCAGCCGCGGGCAGGCACAAAGGGAGCGCAGGGGCAGCCCGCGGCCGCGCTCACGTGCTGGCAAAGTTGTCCCTCCCCCTAGTCCAAGTTGTACAGATGTTGCCGGACACCCTCCCCCAGGCCCCGCAGCTGGCGGGGCAGGGCTGCCACTCCCGAGGCGAAGCGGGCATCTTACTGCAGCCCGGGCTGGCGGGCAAGGCACCGCCCCCTTCCCCCTGGGCTAGTCCTTGACAGGGTGACAGAAGGGAGGGGAAGAGGAGCAGGTGGGGGTGTTCCCCCGGCTATCCTTGCCCCCCCACCCCGCCTTATTCTCTGCCTGGGGCTGGAGGCAGCAAATAAGGCAGGCTTCAAGCCTGATGCCCCCATTCCTCCCCACTGCCTCGCCCCAGCTACAGCCCAGACACCACAAGCCACTCCCTCAGCTGGGAGGGAAAAGGGGGGGGATGTGGTGCCTTCTCCAAGACACCTCCCCCTTCCTTCCCTCTGGCACCAGTTTCTCTCTCTTCTCCTCCTTCCTCTCTTCCTTCTCTGCGCTTCCTTTCCCATCCCTTCACTCTCCATCCGGTCTCTGGCAAGAAAAGTCTCCCTTGTTCCCCTTTCTCCTCCTCAGGCTCGGTTTTCACTTTGTTTAAGACTTCTGTTTCTCACCGGCTCTTTCCAAACCTTCTCAAGCTGGCCAGCCTCGAGCATCCCCAGACAAGAAGGAGGCTGGTCTGACATCGCTTTGATCAAGAAAGGCCAAATGTGGCCATGGGTACTCAGCTTGTTCAGCGTCTGGATTTTGAGAGCTCAGAAATAACATTGCCAGGCTTCCTTCTGCAGCTCTGCAGACTACGAGCTTCCTTTTAAATTGAAGCAGAACATCTATTGGCAACTTTGCATAGAGGCAGGGCCCCTGCTTGACCTGCAGCAGGGTAGGGTGTTAGGTCTGTGTTGTGTCAGGGTTATGTCACCTCTGTCTCTAGACATTTCCCCATTTCCTCTGTCTGTTCCCCAGGCACTTAGCAATTCACCTTGAGACATACACTTGAGTTCACAGATGCTGGGAACTCAGCTTTGCATGTCACTTATAGGACCAAAACATCACAAGGCCTGCTCTTCTCACTGTATTTTCTCAGTACGTTCAGGAGCAGAAATGCCCCATCAAGACCTGCTTTATACATGCTGCTTTCTTGTATTAAAACAGTATGAGAAACAATACAACTCCAGCCCGACATCATGTCAGTTCCCAAGAAAATCAACAGGTAGGTTGCAGCCTTCAAAAAGGAGTAGGTATAGACAATTAAACTATGCACAAACATATTTCAACACATATTAAATAAGGAACGCCCCGCCTAACATTTCATATGCACTTTTGGCCATGAATGGGTTGCCAACAGAGCCAGTAGGAAGATTGCTATTAACACCAATTCCGATTGAGCAAACTGCTTAAGCATTCACCTGACCAAATGTGCAAGCAGTCCTACTGAAGTCAGTGTTATTTAAAATTAGACCTGTGCTAAAGCATCTTTCTGAATTGGGTACTTAAATATGAGCAAGATCAGCCTTTAATGCTGTGCATTTCCTAAAGCTTCCATAGACCTCAACCTTGCCAGCCAACATGATTTTATCACAAGTCTTGTGATACTTAGTGTTTTCTTAAAGCTCCAGGTGCTAGAATCCAGAGATTACAGAAGACTCTCAGTTTTCTTTCTTTCTTTTTTACGTTAAGTTCAGTAAAGCCTTAAATGCTACAGAGAAAAGCTTGAAAATATGGAGCAAGTGCACTGTTAAAGGTGCAAAACCTGGAAGATAAATAAAAAGAACCCAGCATTTTTTTTAAATTGCTTTATTTTTATTACAGCATGGTTTTCAAATGCTTCAAACTGGCAAAATAATCTGATTTGAAAGAAACGAAAGGTACACAAGAACTCTGAGTTATTGTTCTTTCCCAGCAGTGTGAGGTTCAGGCAGTCTTGCTGTATACTAAGGAACAGATCTGATATCTTTGCTCACACTGGGCGTGTCTACACATGCATTTCCTCTGGCTTAAATTTACTGTGCACTAAGCAGGAATAGGCCGGTGTCTACACTTGTAGTTAACACTTTGTGGACTGATTTGGGACTAGAGTTCGTCCCAAGTCAGTTCCCACACGCAGTGTTACTGTGCAGTAAGGTATCTAAAAATGTGTTACTGCACAGTAACTAATCAGGCATAAATTTGATATGCATCATGCAGGTATCAAATTTACGCTCAAGTCAGCATAAATTACCATATTTACTGCACGTTACTGGCATGCATGTGTAGACACGCACCTGTACTACACAGTAATTTTGGTTACTGCACAGTAGTAGATGCACCCATTAAGTAGACGCACAGGTAGACGCGCCCATTAAGTAGCACCTTATTTGAAAATAATCCCATTGACATGCATAGAACTACTTCAAAAATAAGCCTCTATTTAATGTGAGTGAAGATAGCAAAGGCCAGCTTTAATATAATAATTGTTTTCTAGTAGGCATGGCTTTTTTAACTATGATTATCTGTCATGTGATCATGATGGTACAAGAATAATAATGTTACATGAAAAGGGCAGGAAAAATATGTTTTGCACTGTTTGGTTTATATACAAAAGACAAAGTTAACTGCTAGTCAATTAAAAACAAAATCATTTTAGGTGCTACATGGGGCCTTCAACTTTTGTGGTTCCCCCTCCCCAACCCTTTTCTTCTTTTTTTTTTTTTTTTGGTTTTAGAATCAGATTTTCCTTATTAAGGAAAGTGCTTTCACCCTTGGTTTCCTTCATAAAAATCCTTGAAAGGAACCAAATATATACAAAGTATTCCAAACTTAGAAACAAGTTAATGAGCAAAAATGCATTTCTCTAATCTCTTCCATTTCAGCTCTAGTAATCTTAAATGTTAATTTTAGCAATAGGCAATACAAATGCTCAGGCAGAAGTGTTATTTTAAGTTGATGATATACCTTTAAAACTTAGTTCTACTTGTGAACAGAGTGCACTTCTGAACTACTGGAACTCCTCTTTCCTGTGAATATGAACATTGTCTCATGCCAAAAACCAATGTTTCATTTTTTATTATTTTCATTCACAATGTGATTTTCAAAGCATACATCTCTGCTGAAACAAAAACCGTCACAAAAATCATGTGTGTTCTTCCCTCCCTGAAAGTTGTTAGCCAAGAAATTTAAAAATGAAACATAAACAGAATGCTTTAACTTCTACTTATGAGAAAAGAGACTTCCAACATCTCCTTGAGCTTTGAATATCTTGGGAGAAGAGAAACAAAGAAACAACAAGCCGGCTTTCTGTCTGTGCCTGTCTGAATGGGTCAGACTGAGCAGAAAAAAAAGAAGGAAAGTGGGTGACATTTGCCATTTGAGATGTATTGTAAATGTTTCAACACCTTGACAATGAAACACATAACAGAAGCTTAGAACATCCAAGGCCCTTCAGCAAAACAAAATGAAAGCGGGCAGATCTGTTTAAGGAGGTGCCTTCCTGAAGATCTTTCATGTGTGTTTCACAGAACTCATGATTTAAAGAGCCAATGGCAAAATACAAATAATATATTAATAGAAAATTCTTACCATGCAGCTGGATGGCCCCACTGCTAAAACCCACACCAGGAGATTAGACTTATATTGTTTCCCTGGAAGCAGGCACAGTCCCTGTAGAATGGGCCACTGGTTCAATTCTAGGCTCCACCTCTCTGCCACCAGCTGCTCAACTACTTGGTAGCATGCCTCCACTAGAACTTGCATCCTGCATGATACTCACTTACTTGACAGGCCTTTTGTGCATCCTGCCTCTCATCCCTCTCCCTTCTTTTGCTAGTGGAAGTGGCTTCTCTGCTTTTGCTTCCTCCTTTGCTGCCTCCCCCTCCTTTGCTGCCCCTCTCTCTCCCCCCAACTTTAAAAAATCTTATTATTTTATGGCCAAATAATGTTTTTTCCCTAAGGGGTTTTTACTATTTTGAGATTGTAATGACAATCTTGCAATATTCCATGTTTCAGCTGCAGATCTTGAATTTCTGGGATTAGATGAGAACCTCAGCTTTCATTGCAACCAATGATTCTCAACCAGGG